GTAATGAGATTGGTGTTTGACATGAAAAATCGGCATCAGTGGATCTCGAAGTGGAATGAGACGTATAAGAATTTAAGATATGTATTGTATTGTATTCTAAAACCAAACCAAGACGTTACCACGACTGAACCAAAATTACTACCATAGCTACCATTCCTGGCCAGGCACAACAGCTCAAACTAGGTCAAATTAAAATGGTGAAATATAGGTATTATACACATCACAATAGAATAAAATGACTCCAAGCAAGTGTTAACAATGCTAGAAATAATAACCCACAATTAAAAGGGGCTATTGCAGATGGATACACTTTGAAAACACAAACTCGTGTCAGTCATACACCCAAATAGATGAAGCCGAATGATTTGTTTTGAATGATTTTTGTTCATGAGCACCTTTTTTGATTGGATACCAGCAGCTCCTTGCCCGCACTGTTTTTAGACCAAGAAACAATCAGGATCAACCAAAGCACATTTGAGCAATCAGAGTTCAAACCAGGACTAGTGTGAAAGTGGCATAAACCAGACCTGGCCTTTGCTCAGACTCAAAGACAAAGATACCGCAGGCCGCTGGTCTCAAACAGGTCTTTGTGCAGCGAGGAAGTGACCTACTTGACTCTGAGAGGAAGAAGAGGAGAGAGCCAGAGTCACAGCTGAGTCATGTTTAATTCACAGCCAACAGAAATGAAACCCTCAAAATCTGAGCTTTTGTTTATACTGCTGTTGGGAAAGAGAAGTAAATATGCAGAACTAAACTAAACCGGTTATTGTTTAGGTTTGTGTGTTTGTATTAAGCAAGCGAGTTATGAAATCATTAGAAAAAACTAATACATATAAATGTCTGGACACAGCGTATTGTTATTCCCCTTTTATTGCGAAATTGTTTTTTTCTTGCACTATTCGTATTTTGATTAGCATTCTAAAGTTAACATTTCCTTTGGGGCAATGTGTCCTCTGCATTTGACCCATCCTACAATGTCTCTAGGGCCTCTATCATGGGCAGTGGTCCATCTACAGATTCTCTTAGAGTTTTAGGACCAATTATGTATCGGGGAAACCGCAGCACCTGTTACCACAAGGCCCTGTTTCCACTGGGATTTGAACCCAGTCAGGACCTTCTTGCTGAGATGCCACTATGCCCATATTTGGATTGGTTACAGAATAGGGGTCACTTGCTTTAATTAAGGTTTTGGTGTGACTGGACATCTTAAACTTTCAAACCTCAAAATAATATATCTGTCGTTCCTGGCTTTCAAAACTGTGATCACTAGTTTTACAGGCATGTATTTTTCAGCCTCAATCACATTTTTAGATCAGTTTTTTTCAGACAAAAAAGTGAAAAACATAGTTTTTCACTCTCAGCCCAAAGTGTCAAATAGTGACTCCCAAGGCTTTCTTACAATTATGCACAAGATGACAAGATTTTTAAGATGAAGACAGGCTGTTGTCGTCTGATTTTTGGAACAATGGGAAATGTTTTATTTAGGAGAAAAAAGTGCAAATATTCAGCTAAACTAAAGTGCACTATCAATCCAATACTGTAGTACTTTCAAACCATGTGAACAGCGAGACCAAAACATTGACGTCTCTGGAGCGGCTGTAATGGCTTCTGTAGGGTGAGTTTGTGGGAACGGTTTTTTTGGGGCACGGATCCAGCCGCTTTGTCTGTGCCCCGGTTCTGTGGCACAGGGGCCCGCTGTGAGACACCGGAGAAATACCAATGAGGGCTACTACACAGGAATTCAGGGAGGAAGTGTTTGGATAGCGAGGGCCATCCCCGTCCAACAAGTGCATTTTAATTAATCAGAAATGTCCCAAATGGTACAACTCTAATTCATGTAGCTAACAATTCCAGATATTTTAAGCAGCTAAAATCTATATTCTCTTTGAAATGTGTCTTTTGTTTAGTGAGTACATAGTTTTAAGTTTGGCTACGTAACTTTCAAAGCAAAAAAACAAAAAAAAAGTTATAAAATCCATGGTACTATATTTCCTCTCTCTCAAAATACTTTGCTTCAGTCCCATCACTACTTGTAGCTTTGGCCTCTAACATCGACTTTTTCAGGCAAAAAAAGTGAAAGGCCCATAATGGCAAACAGTGGCACACAGGGTTCTTTCTTACATGTAGGAGTAAAAAAAAAAGACAATAATAATTGCATACAAGTGTCTTTCAAATGGAAAAAAACCGCATATTATGGAAAAATAAAAAGTTGGTGACCTCTGCTTCAATCACAATTTAACTAAACAGGTTCAGCGTTTGTGTTTTTCCTGTCTGTTCAAGAAGGACTAAAGTGAAAAAAGAAACCTATCATGGGCTGGACTCCGGATGAACTCTTGAGTGGGGAATTGCCCTGAAGTGCTCCAGCCTTGACTCCTTTGTCCTCAGTCATACTCCTGATTAACGCTGCACACTCTACAACTACACAACTTATCTCGTTGAGGGTTCATAGTTTGCTTTTTATTTTTCTGCAAATATTCTACAAATTGCAAAACTTGTTTATCTGCATCGAAGACAAACAAGTGACGTCATGCTGGTCCTACACTCACAGCAAGAACTCTGGTTTATGAACAGCAAATATACCATAATGTCGTTCGTCCCAAGTATGTTGGCAGGAGGTCAGAACAGTTACAGTGAACCTATAGTACCTAACTGTTTTGTTGAATACATTTTTGTGGACTACTCCTTGTCATCTTTTATAAACAGGTGATTGACTGAGTGAGGGTAGTCCAGTTTCACGTTTCTGTCTGAAAAAAATGGGCAAAAGATGTTGCTGAGGCCAAATATAAATGTAAATGAAAACTAGTGATTGAACCAAACTGTTTTTTTTATTCTGGAATTAGTTGCATGGATTTAATTGCAGTTTTTTTGCCCAGTTTTAAGCGATTTGGACATTGGAAAACAAAAACAGACACACATTCTTGTACAGCTTTTCCAGTGTAGACTTTATCGGCTCAGACAGTATCTAGACCAAACTCTCAAAACTGTCTAGGCATCCATGCAGCTTGTACAAGGGTAGCTAGATGCACTAGTTGAATCAAATCCCTTATCAAATCCCTTATTTGACCTGCACACACGACCATTTCCGACACGGTAGTTTGCAAAGTGGGTCACTTGGTCATAACCCCATAGTTTATAATTTCCGCATGCGTTTCCTAAAGCTGGATTACCGAGTTACTGGGGAGATTTTCAGCAGTTTTGCGATGACGTTATGCAGTTTTCGGACAGATCTCCTTCTTAACCCTGACAAACAAAGGCTGTGTTTCTGCGCAGAGCTGATTAGAGTGGTGGGAGTGTGCGGGCAGCTGCTGTGGAGGATATAAATACAGCTTCTATCGGACTTGGACAGCTGCTGATACCAACTGTGAGGCGATGCACACAAGCAAGGTTTTCTATTGGGTTAATGTAAATCACACTCAAGGAGGGAGAGATAAGGTTACAAAAGCAGGTTAACCTCAAAGAATTGCTTCAGTGGATTAGACAAATGCGTTTCCTTTTTGCTTCTGACTCTGATTGTAGAGGAAAGTACATCACTGTTATAACATTACTGCTTGTCGCTGGCACCGGTCTCAAACTTCGATCTTCAAGCCACGGCTGGCTCTAAATCTGCCAAGGTATACTGTACCACTAGTGTGTTTTAAGATGGTTTTAAATAATTACCGTCATGATTGCTTTTTATATTAGGTAACAGAAAAGTCATAGCTACTCTCATACCAGTAAACTTTCATTTTACTCCAAGAAAAGTTAATTTATGTGACTTGTGTAGATCTGCATATCAACATGGTGTGGGGCTCAGGAGGGTAGAGGCTCATGTTTTTATGTTCAAAGTAAAAGAATGCTGTTTGGTATTTTCCTCATTTACATTATGACGACATAGAAGTGACTACTCATAGAAGTAAGTAGACATGGGGATAGAATTCTACAAAAAGCTAGAACTATAAAATATATGTGAAAACTAATGGCTATTTTTTGAAATGCTGTAGAATGCAGGAAAGAGGCTATTTAAGAATATTTATCTTCATGGAGTTATGAGTAGAGTGGTACAGACCTGCAAACTCTGAGTAAAAAAGGAAACGGTCTAAACGCCAACAGACGGCACCGTAAACATCTGCTGTGTTCAAAACTCAATTCACTTTTTTGTTTGTTTCAAAAATCATGACATTTACCAGAAAATGGTCACATTTAGAAAGTATACAGGAATGCTGAGTCTTGGTATATGAAGGCATCTTTTGCAACCAAACATACTCAATATTACATCCATGCATGACCGCAATGCAACTAATAGCAATATTTTCGGATATTTGTTTTTGACATACTGCCCACCTCTAATTTACAATCAAGATGTGGAACTTTCTGGTCATAGCGAGTACATCTCTTGTCCACGAGAAGACCCTACAAACTGTGAACTTGAATACATTTAGATTTTGAATAATAATCTGTCTGAAAATGAATTCCCGATGAATAGTTTGAGGTTGGGTGATGGGTAACACCTGGGGACAGCAGAAGCCACTGACATTCTAGACACCATGGACACTGTATCGATGTGGAGTCCCGTCAACAAAGTCTAAACTTGATCTAATTAGAATTTCTATAGAATGTCCGTCTTTTACGAGGCTATCTGGACAATCACAAGTTTCTCACACGACGTCATGCTTGGATAACATTCCCTCTCACATGAAGACACATGAAAGAGCTAGTTTTTCACTCATTTAAACAGGGAGGACACACACACACAGACACACACTGACGTTACACAGAAAGGCAGCCAAGGCATACACTCTGCATGACTAATGTGGCTGTAACAAAAAGCTATTGTTTTGTGTGAGTAAATTGTGAAAATATGATGTGAAAGCCCTGTTCTTTACCAAATATTGTAAGAAAAACGTGCAACAAGTTCGGAAACTGTTTTGATCAAATGTTGCAAATTAAATTGTATAAAATATAGTAATGCATTTGTTGGTTATAAAAACGGCGTAGATCAACATGTTGTTTTTCTGGTGCAGATACGACACGGGCAGAGACGGCTTCATAGATCTGATGGAGCTGAAGTTGATGATGGAGAAACTGGGAGCGCCACAGACTCACCTCGGACTCAAAAACATGATCAAAGAAGTGGACGAGGACTTTGACGGCAAACTCAGCTTCAGAGAGGTAAACCAGGAGTTAAAACGGCAACGAACTGATTGGTTATGAAACCTAATAATGAGCCATGCTGTAAAGAATTGTAGAAACCTGACTTCTATAGCCCTGTCTTAAATCGCCTTCTAAATCATAGGCATGTAGAGTTTTATTGTTTAAATTTTCAGTGTATAACTTATGAATACAAAAATAGCGGTAAGTTCTCAAAGTACTTCTAATCCTTCTACTATAAACTATCTGCCATCACCTAAATGCATGTAAATTCTATTCAGTTTCCCTTTTATGTGCCTCTATAACTTAAGGCTGGTGGGACGAATTAGGGCGACCAAGCATCTCTCAAAATGTATGAAGAGAAATGTTCTGGGTTTGTCCTGGTTCACACACCTGTTTCTGAATTGGATTAAACTGAATGGGGGGGGGGGGGGGGGGGGGGGGGGACAATATGATGGCTGTGATCCGATGAACCACACTGCATGAAAAGTTAGATTTTCGTCACCCTAAACTGCAGGAAATCACGCTCTTTTTCGGGTATCTCAGGCAGTTTTCAGAAGGCGCAGTTAGGGTGCCCTGTCCTCCAAACTGCCGTATCCGTACCATGCTAATGTCCCTACTTTGCATATGAATGCAGCGAAACACTGCGGCCGCCGAGCGCTAATGGCCCTAATTAGCATATGAATGCAGCGGCTGGCCAGGCTGCTATTCAGCATTGGTGAATACCACTACTTTCAAACTCGTGATTGGCTGAAAAATCACACGTGGCCAGCCCACGTGGGATTACTCCCCATTGGTAGCTTACTCCCCATTGGATGAAATCACTACTTTCAAATAAGTATAATCTCTCGTGATTGGCTGGCAGATCTGTCACTATTGGTCACCCTGCCTCATAATTAATGTAATAATATTTATATAAATATTCGTATTATTTATAGAAGAAATGAAAATTTTCCAGGAATATGTTCATACAAAGAAAGCTTTATTAAAACACACACACACACACAGCTTTATGCTCACACATAGGTAATTAAAAAATTACAACTCTGAACTGTCCAAATTGCCTCCTCTGGGTTGTAATTTGGCAGGGTTCTAGAGACGCTTAATGTGCGTGGCTCTGTACTTCCGCACCGCCTCTAACCGGGACTGCAGCTTGACAGAGTTCAGAAAACTCGGCTTTCGAAAAGACGGCGACCGCACAATCCATCCAGAGACACCGCCCACAACGCCTTCTTCTTCATTGGACATTAGGTCTACCGTGGCGGACTTCCAGAGTTCCACTTTGTCACTTTCTAGCCACACTCGGTCTCGATTCCAGAGGCTGAAGAATCAGAAATATATTAGCCAAATCAAATCTTTTTTCACCATTCTAACATAGTGTCTAAAGCAGACCTGGAGGATTCTTATCCATTGCATTTGTCTCCAGTAGGTTAGACTACTGTGCCACAAAACGCTGCAGTACATTCAAAATGCAGCCAGCTCAAGTCCTGACCAGAACCAGGAAGTACGATGGTAAGGCTAGTTGTATTTGTCTAGCACACAATTCATACACAATGCAACTCGAAGTGCTGAGCAAAATAAGAAAGCATTAAAATAAATAATCACAGTACATTAACATGATAAATATAAAATACCTCAGTTGTAGCTCAGCTAAAGCTCCTCTCTGACAATGTTTAAAACTCAGGTTAAAGGGAGAACAGTAAAACACTTACACACAATGTCGTCTTTATCAACATCGTGGAAATATTGTGGACTTATTGTTCACATTGTATTGCAGATATTGTGTTAAGCAAATAGGAGGTCACACGTCTCATTACGAGGCGAGTATTTTTCTGAAAACAAAGTGTACAGTTATGATTGTTATCTATACATATCCATTACGACACAAAACGTGTAGGTATACCAATTCAATTTCCATGGATACATTTAACAAGACTTAACATAACCTTTTGAGAAAATGGATCCTTCAATGAAAAAAGTGTGATAATTCTAAGAGCATAGCTTTTTTTGTTTTCGGGAAGGCATTTGTCTAAGGAGAAAAAAACACTCATGGTCAAAGGACATCATGGTTACATAAAAGGCTAAATTAATAGTATCTACAAGTACATATTTTCACAGGGACCTAACCAAGAGATAATCTTACAGGAGAACATCTACCTAGGTCATTTATAAAAGAGATCAGTACTATTATCTTACAATGGGGAATCCAATAACAGTGCTGAGAGAAACTGAATTGGTTATGTGATTATTGTGATAAAAGGTCTTTCAAAGTGATTTTCATTTTATTTTGAGTAAATATCCTTCCACTTGCTAAGAAGGAACTTTAGAGTAATAACTGATACAACATATCCCATGTGTTTCACTCATGTCACGACGAGAAGGTCGACAAGTTGTCTTCGAGAGCTGGTGACTTAGTGATCTCACAGAAGTTATAATCTTTATGGATCTCTCCGGTCACCAGGGTTTTCCTGCAGTTCAACAATCTACAAAACACGTGAAAATGTAAAATGACAATCTACAATTGTACCAAAATCTGTAGGATACAAAATGCAGCAGTACCTCTTTTTATGTGTACTTTCGCCATCTCCTCTGCTGTACATATGTGCATTTCAACACCAAACACAATTCATATGTCATTTCTTTTTGTTATTGCTTTATGAACCTTACACAGGAATCGAGGTGCCGGACAATCTTGGAAAGCTTAGCGCCAGCAGACCCCCTTTTGGCCTTAAAGAGCTTGATGAACTGTGTCGTTAGGCAATCCAATGCTTCAACGAAATCATTGCCCAGTTTGGAGCGTGGTGATTGGTTAAATTCTGCCAGGGACCTGCAAAAAAAACAACATAAAACACTTCAAGTTAAATGCATAGATGTAAAAAATGTGTACACACCTGTCTCTCTGTATAAAGTGTTGGCCAGCGCGCTTTGACATTTTCCACAGGTAGGGCAGAATTGACTATTTCTTGTTGTCGGACTGCAACACGCTGTAAGCAAAAAAAGAATAATCAATATATATAAAACAATATCACATGATTTTTGCTTCAAATGAAAGGAAGATTCACTCAATAACATTATTAAGCAATGGACTTAATTAAAAAAAAAATAAATAATGAACAGAAAGACAAACAGTGACTGAGATGAAAAACTACAGTAATAAAAGTGAAAGTCTTAGCGCTCAAACAAAGACAGGAACAGTGCAAAACAAATGATATATGTTAGATATTCCACAGTCTCCTGTATATCAGGCTCTGCCATGAGCCCAAACTGCTTTTCCTTCGGTTCTTTCAAAGCAGTCTGCTCTGTGCGCCTCGTCCCTGCTCCTGCAGCAGTTCCATGCTTTACAGAAAGTTATCACACACGGAGCAATCACATATATATGTGATATATATATCACATATATGTTTTGGTTGTGTAAAGAGAGTGATGATAACACCAACAACCGTTTGTGTATATACTGGTCAAAGTGCTCGTGGGTCCTCCGGTATGATACTCCGTCTGGTTGGGAGGCCACCAGCAGACTGAAGTCGTCTGCCAATGATTTGTGTCTGAAGGTCAGGAATGTAGTTGTAATCCTTTGCTTCTTTGACAGTGTGTACCCGATACCGTTTCGATTTTTTGCTGTACAGTCTCTTTAGGCTACAAGATAAGTAATTTCACGTTAGAAGACAACTATATGACTTGTCAATAGGAAGTAGTGAATGATACTTACGACACTTGGCCTTTGCTGTTCACATGTGCCGGACGGCTGTTGTGGTGATTGTAGTCCAAAGCTGCGAGAAGTGTTCTTGCTTCATAATCAAAAAATGAAAAAGCAAACCGCTTTCCGGCATACATCAGAATATGGTTTTGGAATGATTCCAGCTGTGAGGTGGTCCTACAGGGAAAGTAAGTAGGAAATAGAAGAAACACAAATCATTAAAAAAAACAAACTGATCTCTTACCGAAATGTGAGGAACTTCTCCACATCCTTCAGCCATCTGCGGTTCAGCACGATCTGTGACAGTGCCACATGTGCTTTAGAGCCAGTTGGTACAGGCCCTTTAGTGCCATCATCCCCCAAAGGACCATGAAGGCATCTACCCAGGTCCCACTCATGCACGCCACCAACATGGTGCAGTACACTTCGCCAAATGTCCTAATAAGCAAACATAAGAAACTGAAAAGGTATAGTGAAAATGAGAAGATAAATTCTAGTTCTACTTTACTTACCATGAACTCTTCTCGGCTGCTTGCATGCTGACAGGCATACCAAAAATGGTTAACAATGTCCTTGATCCACCCAAGGATTTGTTTTTGACCTGCTAGGACACCCGCCTATCAAAGTTATTAGTTTTGGTTATGTCTATAAAAAATAATTGAAGCCTCTTAGTTAGATTTTTTTCAGCATGCCAGACATCCAGGGAATGGGTAACTCCATGATACATATATCTTCCCCGTTCTGGATCTATTTTAAAGCTCAAAAATGCAGTAAGCACAAAATATAGCACAATCAAATAATACAGACAAAAATACTTACGCATGAGGGCTGCAATTTGCACATGGGCGTCAGTCACAATCTTTGACTTTTAATTCTTTGTGAGATCATCAAATGTTTTTGATGAACGCTGCCTTCTCCATAGAGACACTTTTTCCACCAACTTGCCTTTTATCAACATTGACAACACTGAAAGTGTCAAGTTCCATCGTTGTGTATGTGCAAAACGTTGCAGAATGACCTTGTTGAATCAAATATGGTGAAACACAAAAGTAATACACAATAACTATGTTGTGAAGTGAAAGGCTTCAGACTTACCTGGTGAGTCCATTCTCCCGTCAGCTGTAACAGATATAGTACTTATAGTGACTGCAAATACGACAAAGATTGTCCTTTAAACACATTACTTACCAAGGGCCACAATGCCATCTTTTGACTTTAATCGAGTTACAATAGACAACCTCTTCTGCTCCCAAAATGCCTTTATTTCAGGTACGCAGTAGGAGTGTTGAATTTTGTAATACGTTGTCGTTGAAACCATCTTCATATTCATAAATTTGAAGAGGAGGGCAATCTAGCAAAATTATTACCACTCAGTAATAAGTTGGCAGATAACATAAAATCGCCTCCTTGCATCCCATGTCGAAGTACAGGTTGACTGTTCCACATCCATAACTTGTGTCCATAAGAGCAGAACTATGGAGAAAGAAAACAAATAACTTTTACTAAATGTATAACTACACATTTTGCCTACCCTAAATACCATCTCTAATTTCAGCATTCACTCACCCATTCCAATATGATTGATGTGCCCCTAGAACGTGATTGAACCGAAAATGGAGGCCGACCGTCACACTCAATACCAGAAACCGGATCGCTGTAATGGCATTTGTTGATGGGCAGTTGCAGAAAATTAGCCATTTGCAGCAAGCTAATAGTATACGCTATGCATGCTTGTTGGTGCACTAGGTCAGTTTCAGTTGCACTTGCACTAACAACAGTCTTATTTGTTATTATTATTTATGTTATAATTTATTTTATTATGTTGTGCATGTTTACATGCTGGAAACAGTACTTTGAATGCACACGTTGTTTTGCAGTGTTTTGTGTCCTTTGCACTAAGAAAAGTATGACTCTTATGATCATTTTTGCCTATGCTGTGCATGTTTACATGCTGGAAACAGTACTTTGAATGCACACGTTGTTTAGCAGTGTTTTGTGTCCCTTTGGGATGTTTACATGGAAACAGTACTTTGACTGCACACGTTTGTAACAAAAAAAATATTCATTCTCAATAAATATTGGTAAACCATATCAAGTTGTTTCATGCATTTATTTAAAAATAAAAGATACAGTAAAGAATAAGGTACTCAAACAACACTTTTGCGCATGTTCGTTAAGGCACAGCAAACAATGACAATCTTATCCAAAGGCATTAGGTTTTCAACCCTCACATTTGACAAGCATGTGCACAGGTACAGTTGAGTGTAAGAATTTGAATTTGTTGCGCACAACACCGATCACCCTCTCCACGTGAATTCTGAGATGTGCTATGGCCCTAGTCTCCTCCACATCTTTCGCCTCAAGCTGAGCACGACCCCCTGGTGAATGTAGGTATTTTCACTTCAGCACACATCATGCCCACATGTTCTCTTATATTAAAGCCTCTATCTGCCAGCACAATGTCACCTGGTAACAGCTTGTTCAGGAAACCACTTTGCTCGGTTATATGCTTGTCGCTTGTGCGCCCACCCCACCCGTTCGATATGAAGGAAATTACACCCTGGGGCGTGATCACGATTAGGTATTTCATAGTGTATGCGTGTTTGTATTGAGACAAAGTCTGTGCCCTTGCTAGTACATTGGAAGGTTTCTCGATGAACACCTCGAAGCAGTCCACAATGGCAGCCACATTGTTCCCAAATGACTCCACAAACTGGTGTGGCATACTGGTCAATAAGCATTCCCTACTTGGCCAGTGCACCAATGGACACAGCTGTGCGTACATCACACCAAGGGTATGGTGAAAGGCATCGGCGACTGTTGTCCTATGTACTCTAAACAGATGGCTGAGGTGCTGTATTGGAAGGTCCAGTCTGAGGCGCATTAAAGTCAATAGGACAAGCTGGAAGGGTGAGAGCTTCTTCATTCTACCTTGAGGCAGATCTGGAGTTAGGTAGAGTAGAAGTGTCTGGAACAATGCAAAGTTTGGAAGCCCCGTGTAATACTTCACTGTGTTATCATCACCACTCAGAAAGTTCTCATTCATCCGGTACGTATCAAGCTCACGCTTCAGCTGTCTGTTTTCTTCAAGAAGATTGTTGATAACATCTCCGTCTAGATGTGCAGAGTCCAACATTCCATGTCCGTTGGCGGCTTGTCTAGGGCAGGCGCTGGCGGCGCTGCGGCTGGTCTAGGGCTGGCGGCGGCGCGCCTGGGCTGGTCTAGGGCTGGCGGCGGCGGCGCCTGCGGCTGGTCTAGGGCTGGGTGGCGGCGGCGCCTGCGGCTGGTCTAGGGCTGGTGGCGGCGGCGCCTCGCGGCTGGCTAGGGCTGGTGGCGGCGGCGCCTGCGGCTGGTCTAGGGCTGGTGGCGGCGGCGCCTGCGGCTGGTCTAGGGCTGGTGGCGGCGGCGCCTGCGGCTGGTCTAGGGCTGGTGGCGGCGGGCCTGCGGCTGGTCTAGGGCTGGTGGCGGCTGCAGCTGGTCTAGGGCTGGTGGCGGCTGCAGAGGTCTAGGGCTGGAGGCGGCGGCGCCTGCGGCTGGTGTTGGGCTGGAGGTGGCTGCCGCTCCAGTGGCAGGGACCTGCGCCTTACTTGCCGCTGATATCTCGCTTCATCTGTTTTTTGTACATCATTGTGGCCTAACAACAGGGATGGTGTCCAGTCAGGGTGGTTCTCCAACATCTCATATGCTGGTTTACCTACACGAGAATAATAACAACATATAATTAATATAATAATTTGCACAATCTATGTAATCAATGCTTTAAACTGGCAACTATGTCATGAACAGCATCTCAAGTACTTTTTAGGTCACCTCATAATGTCATATGAAGGTTTATGTACAACAGAATAATTAGATTATGTGTACAATCTATGTAATCTATGCTTTACACTGGCAAAGACCTCGCAGAACACGTGCTAAGTAAGAAACAGCCTGAGAGGGTAACAAAGACACAGAGACAAAGGCACTACAGAAACCATAATAACATATGCTAACCTACACTTCCTAGCTTTAAGAGACAACTACATAAATACATTTTTAGAGAACGTACCAGAGTGAAAATGCAGAGAACACACTCTCGTCGACAGGGGTGTGTGATCGAAAGTAAGGTCCTTTCTTCTAATTGCAGCCAACCAAGCAATCCGACGTCTCCTTGTCAGGTCAGAGAATTGCTCCCCTTGATGCTTTTTCCATTTCGGTAACCTAAAAAACTGTATCCCGTTGTTACTAGGTTTTCCATATCCATCGTGGGAGGTATTGGAGCAGTTTTTAACGCAGCAGTTATTTCCAGGCATGATAAAACAGTGCGGAATAGCAAGAACCTCCGCTACTACCGCGTTCACAACACACGTAAACAAACTGTACTGCCGCCACCGGTGCGCAGCCAATATGTCGGCAAAGGGGGGATGGGGAGGGGGGACTCTGTGCCGTGACGTCAACTCCTCATTCTCAATACAGGGCCGAAAAGAGACGAAAATCACACTTTTCATGCAGTGCCACTAATCAATGTTTCCAAGATTTACCTCCTCTTTAGCTCATCCGTTTTAACTGTCTGAAACCAATCAATATTACATGATTGGCCCCCTTGACCACCTGCTCCTCCCTCAGTTCCTGCTGATCTTCCGTCGGGCGGCGGCCGGAGAGCTGCAGGAGGAGAGCGGCCTCATGGCTCTGGCTCGACTCTCGGAGATCAACGTCTCCACAGAGGGCGTCATGGGGGCCAAGGACTTCTTCGAGGCCAAGGTATGAGCACAGGATCGGATTGCGTTTTCATTATGAGGATACAGGTTTTAGTGACGCAACTGGACAAGAGATACAAGATTCATTTGTTTTGCCCCGAAGGACATTTTTCTTGGATTCTCAAGCTGCCACATGGGAAGAGACAGAATACAATACACACACACACACACACACACACACACACACACGTAACCCCCTGTTGGCTTGGTAACAAAAGTCTGCTTACCGGTAATTCTTTCTTTTGTTATCACTACAACACTTCTCTGTCCTCTCCCATTGTTTCATTCAGGAACAAAGCAAAACGATGAGCTGTTAAAGCAGGGGTACCTAACTTTCAAAAGCACAAAGAAGGGTAACTATGCAATAAAAAACATATAACCTCACTTTCTAAACAGTTCTTTCAGATACGCTTTTTCAGACGGAAAGGTGAAAATTGGGACCACCCAAGCAGCTTCCAGCCCAAAGTGTCAGATAGCGACACAAGTACTGGTGAAACGGGTGAAACTTGGAAAATTAGAATATACAAAATGTTTCACCTGTTTGCAAGAGGATAAAATGTTTTCTACTTTGCATGTTGTGATCTGGTTTGTTCACAACATTTTAATGTCAACAAGACTCTTTCTGTTGGAACAAATGCGATGTATTATTTATGACAAAAGTTGGGAACCTCACCCACTTTTAAAAGCTTCATCCCTGGATTTCATGAAACGACGTCACACTTAACTCTCTTCTCACGCCCCCCCCCCTTTCCTCTCCCCTCTCCTCTCAGGCCCAGGCTCTCTCTCAGGGCAGCAAGTTCGAAGCCGAGATCCGGGAAGAAAAGGAAGAACGCAAGAGACAAGAGGAGGACAAGAAACAGCGCAGAGCAGCTTTCAAGCAGCTCCAGTCCGCCTTCTGCTCCTGAACACGCGGGCTCCACATCCGTTAGGTTAAATCTGGCACAAATTGGCACTTTACCTTCAAGAAAGAAAGAAAAAAAACGAAAAAAAACCCGACTCACTTGAATACCTCATGTTAGTTCTCGATGCCACAAGAAACCAACAGCAAGCCGCACTAATGTGGGAAGGTTCCAAGCGCCTGTAGTGAAATTAGTCCGATGTTTTTTGGGGCGATCTGTGTTTTTTTGAGTTTTAAGTATTTGCTTTTTTAATGTTGTTTTAAACAGTTTTTATCGCGTTGGCTGTAAACGATCCGTAGTTGCGCAGATTAAACTTACTGCTTGTACGTTGCCGTGGTTAACCAAGCCTTATGCAAAACCACTTTTAATGTGTTTTATGGCGTTTTTATTGTTCTCGCTTTGGTTAGGGACCATTTTTCAAAAACACTCTGTTGTGTTGTTCCATGTTCCGTCTGCTAAGTGTGTTCAACGTCGCAAATGTTGTCGGACCATCTTGCACTACACTTATGCACACGATGGTATTATCACCTATTTTATAAAATTCATGTTATTTTTTTTATTATAAGCCTTAGTATAATAACTAAGCCAAGGAGACTCGACTCTGCGTATTTGTATTTATGAGGGCTTGGGATGGCTCGCTTTCGCCCCCTTTTTTTAACAAGTTATTTCACTAATTAAACATTCTTGGAAGTCTATTTTTCATGCCTGTCTATTCAGTATTGCACCTGCACTCCGAAAAATGCTATCAAGAACCACTTTTGTTGATAAATAGAAGAATATTTAGTCAGCAAAGGCATCTGACACTAAATAATGGCCTAGAATATAAATATGCAATTCAAAGCTATAGGGGTAAAAAGTAATAGCAGTTAATGGGATGTACACTTTTGGCTTCTTTCCTTGAACATAACACAAACAAAACCAACAACGACTGGTTGTTGGTTTTTTAATGAGGGAAAAACAAGTGAAACGGATTAGCGAACTTCCAGTAAGTTGCTACAGCCCCCACGTCCTCTCTGTAAGTCCGTCACAATGTTGAAATCTGTCGTTGAGCCACTGTCGAAGCATGACTTTGTGTGAGAAAAGTTGTGATTTGTATGTGTGTGCGTGTGTGCGTGGTTCATGTCCGGTGTTTAAACGGCATATCTCACTGTAGTCATTCTGGTCGGTTGTGTTAACTGTGGCTGTTGGGTTGGGGTCTGTCACACTTGGTCCAAAGGAAGCAAATGTATTTTATCACGAGCCATGTTTTTTCATGAACCAAGCCAGACGTGTCAAACTAGTTCCAGAAAGGGCCGGTGTAGCTGCAGGTTTTAGTTCCAACCAAGCAGGAGCACACCCATATCCTCCACCCATATCCTCAGGTCTTCAGGTTAAGACTGGACTCGCTTGAGAAAGTTAAAGACTTCTGTGATCCTGCTTGGTTGAAATGAAATCCTGCAGCTACACTGGCCCCATGAGGACTGGTCTGACACGCCTGGACTAAGTGGATGACCATGAACCAATGGGAAATCCTGTGAATTGTTCAAAAAGTAGCATTTGTTCAACGTTTTGAAAGACTATCATATCTTAATTTAGTATTATAACACCAATAACAAACCCATGTAAATCAGAGACATTTTTTATCCGGCAAAAGGTAGACTATTTTTTTAAATTCCATTAAAAACGTGCATCTCTATTTTTAAAATGTTGTTTTTGGGCGATAGTTTGGAAGCCGCTTTTGTGGAAATGTGAAGGCCCCAAACTAGAGCAATCCCATATCTATATTTGCGTCCTCCAGACCAATGTAAACACGCCATGTATCCATCAGACAAAATCATTTTAACCATCCGACTAGAACTGAAGCTATTCTCTACTGTTTTTACCTTTTTCTTGTTAATTATTCTAGACTTTGACCAATGGATATTCACAAGACGCACAATAGTTATGTGGTTGCATTGTCACAGTCTGGTCCCACTAAAACATTCCAAACTCAGCCCAATATTGAGCTTTGGTACAATTTGAGCCACAATTCTAATATCCAAAGAATTTACTCTGACATTTATTCAAAAGCAAATGTAATAATTTTCACATTTCAAAAAGTCTTGCCACACATATTAACCATTTCTTTATGCTATGACTCTCATCACATTCCAATCATCTTTCTCTTTTATCACTTATTATCAAAGAAACAGCCCTTACAAATCATTATTTTCACTTGCTCCTGGTTGTGCATAATTGGTGAATCCTAACCCCAGATCAGCAACATTGCAACGCAGCTTACATTTGTATTATCTTTATGTACATGGGCCATTTTTTTCAGTGTATTTCGTCGATCCCTGTTTTTTTTGGGGGGGTGGTTGTATTTTTGAGCGATGTCACTGATGTTTTAAAGGTATATGCAGTTGTTTTAAATGTCATTATTTCATCTGTCCTGTTTCGTAATCTCTCAAACGTCTCTATCGCTGAATGTCTCTGCAAATACTAGACACATGGGGAAATTGGTAGTATTGTGTGGCTGTAAAATCTGTCGCATCATATGTTGATGATGCACATTTCAGTATGTGCCGTGTTGCTGCCGCCATCTACAGGCGGAATGGAGTACTACAGGAGCACTACTGACCCATATCTGCAAAACTACAGGACAAGATAAATGGTATACTGCTTTAACACTAATATACAATACGGTATATCTATGTTTCCCTTTTTAACTTGCAACGATTTTCATATGTTGCATTTTACTACAATAGTCAGTACTACTACTTCTCCATGTGCACCTGTATTGTATAAACATTGTGTAGAAAGACTCGAGCGATTTGAGACATTTTTATGTAAAGTCCAGTCCATATCTTGCCTGTTGCCGCATGTCCAACTACTGTTCATTCCTGTGTGTGTGTGTTATTTTTTCATATGAAGTCTTGTATATTGTTTTATCCAAGCATAGATTTGCAGAATGAGTTGCCAATTCTAAAACGTAAAAAAAATATAGAAGAAATTCAGGATTAAATATATCTATTTTTGGGCACTTTTAAATATGTGTGGTGTTATTTTCCCAGTTTGAATGAAGTCTGTTACTGATTGCAATAAAGAGAACATGTTAAAACTGAACCTGTTGTGTTGTTGAAGTCTGGAAATATAATGTCTTTTTTTTTGTTTAATCACTCATGCCCTAGATACACCGTGCACTAAATGTAGGCTGACATTACTTTGACAGGAGGTTAGGAAGGTGGATCTTGTCTTCTCAGTAGGTTAGGTTTGTTTGGTTCTTCTACCAATGGTTGTTTTATTGTCCTTAAAGACTAATAAAGGCTTTTATTGTGAGAGCCTGTGAACAGTTGAACCACAGAGACAAATATTACACTAATATTCTTCTGTATTACAGATACCGATGTACACATACACAAGTCTACAGTGCCTTGCGAAAGTATTTGGCCCCCTTGAACCTTTCAACATTTCGCCACATTTCAGGCTTCAAACAAAGATATAAAATTTTAATTTTTTGTCATGAATCAACAAGTGGGACACAATCGTGAAGTGGAATGAAATTTGTTGGATAATTTAAACTTTTTTAACAAATAAAAAACTGAAAAGTGGGGTGTGCAATATTATTCGGCCCCTTTACTTTCAGTGCAGCAAACTCAGTCCAGAAGTTCAGTGAGGATCTTTGAATGATCCAATGTTGTCCTAAATGACTAATGATGATAAATAGAATGCACCTGTGTGTAATCAAGTCTCCGTATAAATGCACCTGCTCTTTGATAGTCTCAGGGTTCTGTTTAAAGCACAGAGAGAACCATGAAGACAAAGGAACACACCAGGCAGGTCCGAGATACTGTTGTGGAGAAGTTTAAAGCCGGATTTGGATACAAAAAGATTTCCCAAGCTTTAAACATCTCAAGGAGCACTGTGCAAGCAATTATATTGAAATGGAAGGAGTATCAGACCACTGCAAATCTGCCAAGACCCGGCCGTCCCTCCAAACTTTCATCTCAAACAAGGAGAAGACTGATCAGAGATGCAGCCAAGAGGCCCATGATCACTCTGGATGAACTGCAGATAACTACAGCTGAGGTGGGGATGGTGTGTTCAGGGTGATGAGCTGTGTTGCTTTTACGCCAAACATATCGTTTTGCATTGTGGCCAAAAAGTTTGATTTTGGTTTCATCTGACCAGAGCACCTTCTTCCACATGTTTGGTGTGTCTCCCAGGTGGCTTGTGGTAAACTTTAAACGAGAGTTTTTATGGATATCTTTGAGAAATGGCTTTCTTCTTGCCACTCTTCCATAAAGGCCAGATTTGTGCAGTGCACGGCTGATTGTTGTCCTATGGACAGACTCTCCCACCTCTGCTGTAGTTATCTGCAGTTTGTTAGTATTAGATAGCAATATGGCCTATGTGCAAGACTGTACAAGGACTCTACAAGGACTCCATGTTATGACTATGATTTGACTGTCTCTTTGTGACACGTATGTCTTTCGATGTGTGACGTGACAATGACTATATAAACTGTGTACTGCCTTTATTCTGTCTGAGAGAAGGAAACAAAGGAAACCAGTGGCACTTGAGAAACTTAAATAAACTTCCAGAGTTTGGCACACCACGATCAGTCTGTCTGCTAAATCCTAACAGATTTGGTGGAGAATGCGCGGCTCAGTGTGCGCCATTCTCTGGATTGTTTTGAGGGAGTTTCCTTTGTTTCTTTTTTTCGGCGTGTGGGAGCAACAGCACGTTATCTGGAAGGGGAGAAATCCCAGCGGACGCTGAAAGGGCTCGCTTTTGGATGGGCTTGCTCTTGCTCCCTCACTTTCTCCGTTTTGTGTTTAAATTGAATTTTTCGACGCGGAAAAGATGTTGGTCGACCTCTCGAACAGTCCGGACAAAGAAAATAAGGTAAGCAGACACCTTTTTTAATATGTAAAGTCTGCATAATTGGATACTAGCTAAATTTTGAGCTGTCCCGGAGGTCTGTCCAAATCTCTCTAAATCAAATTTTCTTTGTTTTGTCTTTGTCACGTCTTTGTCATGTCTTT